GTTCCTTCTATAAGTAGTATGAAGAACCTGAAGGTAAAATTCTATAAGCCCAGTCACACAGAAGGTATATCCAGCACACATGACCAGAGCCTACAGTCAGAGATGAGATCTTTATCATACAAATATAAATACTAAATTTTTGTGTTAAGAAATCACTTCTGATAATAAATAGCAGTATCTACTAATATATGGCATTAGTACATTTCTTAAGTAATGCTTTATAAACTTTCAGCATCCAAAACAGTCATGCTCTTTCCCACGTACTAGAAACTACTATTTTCAGAAACTTCTATGTAAATATATTTACACAACTCAAATTCTCTTACAATAACATCATGATGGAGAAGTTGGGAAGAGTGACTGATCCCAAGTAGAATTTAGTAGGGAGAGGCATATATAAAAAGGTACTATCAAGACTGGATGGATGGCTCAGTGGTTAAGAGCACATATTGTTCTTGCAGAGGACCCGTGTTCAAATCCCTGCACCTACACCAAGCAGTTCACAACTGCCTGTTTCTCCAGGGGATTTGATACTCCCCGACCTCACACACAGACATTTACATGTAAAAAATATTTAATAAAAAAAGGGAATTGAATTTTAAATTGTGCACATGTACTAATTATTTTTTATTTGAGTCTTGCTTTGTAACCCAGGCTAGCCTACAAATCATGATCCTGTGTCTGCCTCCCTACAACTGGGATTCCAATGATGGGTCAATCGTATCCAGTTGAAAAATGATTTTAGCATCAAAAAAAAAAATACTGGTTAACCAGGTGTGGGTGTTTGAATTAGAATGCTTCCCTACCCATAGGCTCAAGTCTCAGTGCCTGGTCACCAGTTGGTGAAACTGTCTGAGAAGGATGAGGAGGAGGTTTGGCCTTGTTGGAGGAAGTATGCCATGGGGGCCCAGCTTTGAGGTTTCAAAAACCCACACCATTCACAGTCAGCACTCTCTGCTGGGTGTTTGTACAAGACGTAAGTGTTCAGTTACTGCTCTAGTGCCCTGCCTGCTGGAATATCACCCACCACGATTGCTATGGACTCTAACCCTCTGAAGAACTGTAAGCCCCAAATAAACTCTTTCTTTTATAGGCTTCCTTGGTCATAGCATGGTGGCACACATTCTTGATCCCAGGGCGTGGGAGTTAGAGGCAGGCTGTTGAGTTCCAGTCCATCCAGGACTACATGGAGAGACTGTTTTTTAAAAAATACGGACTAGAGAGATGGCTCATCTGTTAAGAACACTTGCTGCTCTTCTCTTCAGGATCCAGGTTCCCATTCCTGTCAAGTAAGTGGCTCATAACTATTCCTAGGGACCTGACACTCTTTTCTGCACTCATACATGTATATGACCTATACACAGACACCCACTCACACACAGAGAAATGTTATTAAATAAATCTTAAAAAAAAACTACTAGTTAAAATATCTATAGTACATCTACACATTTGTTTTCCTTGTATGTCTAGAAAAAGTAAAAAATAGGCTCTAAGAATAAAGAGAATGCTAAACCCTTTCAGAATTTTAGAGTAAACATTCATGCATAAACAAAAGAAATGAATTCAGTATGTTAAACCTACACTGCCTCATTTACTGTTTAGTCAGGAGATGCAAACAACTCAAGAACTGGCAACTGAAGAACTGGCACATACATAGACATGCACATACACTTTTTTCAGGGAGAGAAAGGGATGAAATCTGTCATTTTCATGATGTTAAGTAAAACAGGCCAAGCACAGAAAGACAGATGTCTATGTGGAACTTCAAAAGTTGACCTCACTGATGCAGAATCAAGAAAGCTGGAGGGAGGATGCAGAAGGTGGGACAGCACACCATTACAGTAAAAGGAGAACTTAGCACTGGTGCTTTACTGTTATAGTACGAGGATACAGAAACAATAATGTACTATGTACCTCAAAAAAAAAAGCTAGGACTGTTTTTAATTAGAAAGAAATTATAAATATTCAAAGTGATGTTTATTTGATGCTTATCCTGATTTGAACTTTACACATTATATATACAACTACTAAACAGAGTACTCCATAAATAGTAAATTAAAAACACAGGCTATAGCCTGGCATGGTGGTGCACACCTTTAATCCCAGAACTCAGGAAGTGGTGGCAAGTGAGTAGGAGGCCAGCCTGGTCTATGTAGTGAGTTCCAGGTCCGTCAGAGCTACAAAGGAGACTCCAACTCTAAATAAATAAGTAAACAAATAAAATATATGAACAAACCAAAAAACAAAATCCAACCCCAATGTTTTCCAACTTCATTAAATCATGGAATATATTTCCCAACTGTGACTACATGGAACACAAATTTTCTTCTAGTTTTTAGTAGTACGTGAAATCCCAAACTAAAAATTTTCAGACTAAAACAAACAGCTTCAGTTAGTGTAGACGATTACTCCTCTCCCAGTGTAGCCTATTAAATCCTCCAGGTAAGTGGCATATAATCCTGCTAAGATCCCATCCAAGTTTCTATTGCACATCAAACACTGGTCATTACATACAAGAGAAAATGTGTATATGTGTACAAAACAGACAAATATCTATACATAGATACTTAATAGCACAGCCAAGGAATTTTTATTATAGTTAACTTGTGAATACAGAAGCAACTCAAAAACAACCTCAAAGAATTTTTGTTTAAAAATGTCTATAACTGCATTAGAATTAAAAAGCTTATAGCACATCTTCATATGAAATCACTCAATTTTATACAAAGATTGAACTAATTTGTCTACAAATTGTGATTCTCACTTTGATTTACTACCTGAACCACTATTACATAACTATAACTAAGAATAATGTAGAATTACATATTCATCAAGACTTAAAAAATAACCACAAACACACTAGCCTTAGCTCCTTAATTCCCTTATAAAATCATTTAAAACTTTATTATTCATTTATTTCATGTATGTGTATGGCAGGGTATAAGGTCAGAAAATGACCTAAGGGAAGGTCCTCTCCTTCCATCATGTGTCTCAGCATGGAGCACTCAGGTAGGTCATCAGGCTTGGTGACAAGCTCCTTTATCCATCGAATAATCTTTCTGCCCCTCCTCATAAAATTATTAATTACAGCACATTCCTAAATGGCTATTAATAATATGATACTCTTAAGCTAGAAATACTCTATACACCCTAAAATTTTTAAACACATTTAAAAATGTAACAAAAATGCTAATCTTTCAAAAAATGATATTATTTTTGTACACGTCTAGCAAAATCTTTATTATTTTAGTCTTAATTCATTTTAATGTTTTATTCATTTTGAGGTCATCTATTTGCCCGCTGAAAAGACTCACGCTATTCTCCCCCGAGGCTAACCAGCACGTTCTTATCCCCCTGTGCCAATACTGAACCTCCACAACAGTTCCTACTTGCTACAACACAGTCAACAACCCCAGAGTGCACTTCACTTACTATTTGGCTAAGTATATAATGAAATCACAATTCAAAAACATCTTTGTCAATTTTTGAACAATAAAAAGAAAACTGACACTGTGGCATGTGACCATCAATGACCAAGATGTAGGTAGAAATAGACCTTGGTAACTAATAATTTAGAATAAATAAAGAAAACGCCCAGGGTCTACCTCAACTAGCCGGAAACTAGAACAAGTGGTGAGACTGGAATGCAGAAGAAACATTTAAAAATACACAATGGGAGTGGACTGACACTTTAAGTGATCTGCTATCAACAGATTAGGACATCTTTAAAGGCTTACCGTAATGACAGAATCTTTAACATTTCACTTAACATTTCACTTTTGCTTGTTTTCCCTAGTGTCAATTCTAGAAGACCGGATAATTATTTGGATGGAACTCTGGTAGTTAAACGGAAAGGTTAAACGAGATACAATTTTTTTTAATTTGTCAAAAACTGGTAAACGTATCACAGAATTGCTAAAACATTTTTGCCAACCCTGTTGCAAAAGCACTCTAGTAAACATCCCCTTCTCTCAAACAACATACAACAAATTGCTTTCTCAAAGACTATAGTAACAGTGACTAATGCAAACCTTTTAAACTGTTTTTCAAACTAACAATTTCCTACCCCTGATAAATATTTCAGTCAAATACAATTAAACAGTTAAGGAAAGAATGTACAATTCTAAAAAATTTCTCTAAACGTAGTCTTCTTAATCAAAGGAGGTGTGACAACCAACGCAACCCAAGAAAAATTAACCTTAATCCTTCAACCAAAACACGCAAAATGTCTCCTAACAAGTCTCCTTTAAACAACCATACACAAAAATACTGTGCTTACTTATACCCACTACAAGCAGCTCAGTAATAGAGAGACTAGTTACGTTCGGAGATCAAGGTGCAACTCTCATCTCACAAACCTCCCCAGATAACTATATCATCCAGGCAAAACCGAACATTATTTTTGCTAAAGCAGGAATCTAACCCCGGGGAGCCTCAACCCTTAGACAATGGTGGTTACCAGACAGCGCAGCACAGTTGGGTCCAAATGACACATTTCACTAGGCCTTAGTCACAACACATGCGCGCGCGAGAGAGTCTACATACGGATACACACACGATCCCAAGGGGCCGGTTCTACCACAGGGGTGCTCAAACCCACCAGGGCACAGAGGGGAGCACCGCGGTGTAGTGGGGAGGATAGATGAGGGGGACGACACAGCGGAAGGGTAACTGCACTGCACACGAGGGAAGGGGCTGGAAATGGCCGATGGCTTCTATATTTATTTATTTAAGGGTATTGATTTAACGGGTCCTTCCCAGGGGCTCCGTAACTAAAAGCAAACTGCGCAGCAAACATCGTGGGATTGGAAAAGGAGCCGCTGCTCCCCCTGCCCCATGACCTGAAGCGGGGGGCACACAAGTTCCCTAGCCAGCGGACCACTCGGGCGCCCCTCTCCCCTTCTTCCAGGGCAAAGGGAAGCCCACAGAGAAGGGGAAAACAAGTTCCCCAGCCAGCCTCACCGCCCCACGCTGCTTGCTGTCCCCCCCCCCCCACCTACCACGAGAAAGGGGGAGCCCAGACCCAGCCAGGCGGCAAAAAGGGGGAGAAAAATCCCACCCTTTGCCCGCCCCCGGCCGCCAACAGACTCTGGTGGGGTGGGTGAGCCAGCCGGGAAGCCCCAAGGAGGGGTGGGGACGGAGAGTGCCGGCCCCGAAACCAAACAAAGCGCGGCCTGAGCCGCAGCCCGGGCGAATCGCGCAGCCGCGGCTTTTCCTGCCGGGCCAGGCCGGGCCCAGGTCGGGCCCAGGCGAACACTGCGGCACGGTGGGACCCGCCTCCGCTCGGCC